CATGATTGTTAAAATGTTTCATGTGAGAGAGGCCAGGACTGGTCAAAAGGCAAACACATTCAGTTCTTTGGACAGTTTTGACAGTATTTAAACTTTCTGAAAGACACACAGTTGCTGCACCCTGTTGGTGAAATAACTCTGAATCTTTGACTGTAAACCCTACATTCACAAATTCCCCTGCTGTTTAAAAAATCAGAAACGATGAAACATAAAATAAATGTAGCTAAAATTAGTTTAATAACTGATATAACAAGATTATTGGGCTTGCAGTCTGTCGACAGGTCTGTTAAATTACAACAAAGTCTATCAATAATTGCCACAGTCTCCTGTTAATGAAATGATGCCTTAAAACATGCCACAGTAAAGATCAATCACTTCTCATCTTGGACAGAATAATCTTGTGTTTGGATCAACTATAAGTATTAGTTTATACCAAACTTAAAAGCTACAATTCTTCATCCTCAATAACCCATGACCTGTGTACTCCTGATGAATGCAGTTCAGTAAAATCATTACTAAATGTGATGAATGCCATTATGTGGCTTTAAAATAAAATTTTGTCATTCAATCCCTTGACCACTTCCCTGTTCAAAGATAAGAGTACTGTCATAATACTAAACTCATATACATAATTGATGCACATATGCAGGTTATCATGTTTTTCTTGACATATTTATGTAATATTAAACTAATTAACTCCTGAATGTTCAAATTATTTATTTTTATAATCTCAGAAACCTGAATGAGCATGTCAGTCTTTAACACTTGCGAAAAAAAGTGAGTTCACACCATCATTGAACCGTTTCTAATTGAATAACCTGTGCTGCTGTATACATGTATAACAATGTCAAAATTCATATGTTCAATAAAAGCAACATAATTATAAATAACAATATAACATTTTAACCTGAGACTAGTCATTTACTATAATTATGTACTGTTACAAATAAATAAAACATATTAATATTAAGTTAACACTAGCCTATCCCCTAATTTATTTTTTTTAAAAAGAAAAAAAAAACCTAAAAAAACGTGACGTTCTGACAACTTATATATTAACCAGTACTTTGTCTAAGCATTACTACAGCCATTAGGGACGTAACTTTTATGCAAATGCCGTCAATTCATTACATTTCTTTCAATTCGCCACTGCATCCACATCTGCTTAGAGGCCCATAAACACACTATGGTAAATAATATATAAAGTATTAACCTTACATAGATAAACGTATAGACTCCCTCGATGACAATTTCCCGTGCCGAAACGAACTGATCAAAATATACTCATATTGATAGAAAACGTATACTTCACAGCCACTCTCGTTTGAATTTCTTTCATTTTTGCCTTAAATTAAACTTGCCCCAAAAATTTATACAGTTATATGGAATAAAAGACGGCAATTACAGCATTTATGTCGAAAAATGAATAATGTCAGACACATGTTTATAATATTTTATTCCTGTAAAAGTGAAACCAGTCATTAAGCATAAGGAAGTACATGGTAATTCTTTAGCTTGCTAGAACCAATGGTGATTACTAAAATTTGGCATTGCAATCAGTTAAAAGCCACACAAACTTTCACATAAGACTATAAACTGGCGATCTTTAAATTTTTATCTTTATATTCCCGAAACTTATAGCAAATGGAAGATGTATAGGTCTATATAGATCTAATAAAGTCAGCAGTGTAAGAATTTTCTCATATTCTACTGTTGTTTTTTGGAACTTTTTTTAATAAGCATTTTCTCTGGGGTTCATTATGTCCTGTTGACCTCTTCAGCTTCCTCTTTTTGACAAACGGTGGTAGGTGTAAAAAAATTTATAAGGGAAAATCACAATTTTACTATCAAAGGGGGATAGTTGAATAAAATATTCATGAAAATCTAATTTTGGATCCTAAAAAAGACTGGCTTTATTTCAAATTTCAATTCATTTTTTGAAAAATGTTTTTAAATATTTTGAAAACTTGTTAAAATATGTGTCCAGAAATTGGGCTATGGTTCTCTAGAATGATGATCTAAGTAAATCTGTAAAATTGCAATAATATTATATGGGTTTGATTCTGAAGAAAAACAGATGTTTAAAGTAAAGAAAAAAAATCCTCTATCCAGACTCTATTCTTTCTGGCCAATAAATTCATAACATACTGAAATCCCCAAAATTTACAATGGACAGTTCTTAATTCAAAGTAGGACAAGTTGATTATATAAATTTAGCATGGTTTTCAAAGTGTTAACATATCAAAACAAAACTTTCAAAACCTAGGTTACTAGACAAGTTCTTGATAGAAAGAAGCCATAAAATATCTGGGCATTTTTAAAAGAACACTTTTTTTTTTTTGATTTTACGATAAATTATGTCTGTTTTTATTACCTGCTTCCTTTAATTTGACCTACTCCCAGTAATGTAGCTAGTACCTGGCTTCATTCTAATTAGGTTTCAAGTAACCTGTATGAAGGCTAATTGGAAAATGGTGTTAGTTCAAGAGGTTTTTCCACTAATCATAACATTCCCACCTGGCTAGGATGCTTCAAATATTACCCTGATAATTTGGTAAATAGGAACTCTCTGCTATACAAGACTTAAAATAATATTCTTTTTTGATTCATTTATTGTAGACTTTGTCCTTTTTTGTAATATTTGTTCCTTATTTCTATCCTCTCTTTTGACCAAAAACATTCTAAAGTGTCCCTTTAAAAATCCTCTTTAAAAATGTCCTCTTTTTTCCTACAATTCCTCATTCTATTCTAAGACTCAAATCTTATAGTCAATTCAATAACCCCTCCACTTTTACATACCCAATAGTGAAACCTACAAGCATTCACCTCAGAATATACCATAATCTTGTCAACCATAATAAGATATACAATGTGCTTAAATTTAATGATGTCAAAAATTTGCTTTACTGTATTTTCTTTTAACCCTTAAAGTGCTTTATATCTTAGACGGACAAAACCATTTTTTTTTGGTTTGGGGGGGGGGGGGGAGGGGGGGATTTTTCAAAATAATTGTACTGGTTGAATAGTGAACAGTGCAGATCATGATAAGCCAGAATTGATGTTTTGGCTGATCTTGGTCTGCACTGGTTGCATGGGTAGAATCTGGCAAATAGTTCAACGATAAAACCCTCTTTTTTAATGTATTTTCACAGTATACTAATTCACTCAAATGGAGATCAAGACACTGAAAAAACCTAGATTATTTTGGTGTAGATCCCAAGCTACTGCATACCAACAGATTACAATACAGAAATTCCCAGACTTGCATTCTTTCATGTGATAAAAACCTAAAAAACTGAAACTATTTCTGTTGTAAATTCTGATTTGCTTTTACTTTAGCACAAGCTAGTCCAAACTGACATACAGTTGGATATGTAAGAAATGCTAGAATGACAACTCTTTATTCATAACGGCTGAGAAGTAAACAAATAAACTTTATAAATTGCTGGTACAAAATCAGTATAGAGAACAAAATAAATAAGCTTTAATATTTTCACTTGACTTTTCAGATGAACAAGAAATAAAGCAATAAAATTATGGACACTCCATGATATCATGATGTAACTTTGACAAAACTGAAATGATAAAGAAATGTAGGAAAAACTATTTTTAGCCTTAATAACCTTGACCTAATTGATTTTTTAGGGTAAATCTACAGAAAGTACCAATATATCAAATAAATACCACATAAACTTGGGCTAGCAGTCAATAAAATGGTGGACCATGAGAAATTGTAAGAAAGTGTGATGTCCATCACTAACCATGGCAAGATGGAAAGACAGAAGAAATAAAGGACAATATGAACCAGAAACAAAGATTATCAGAGCATAAAAATTACCTTAACTCTTAAGTTGTTCTTAAGTCTTTTCGCACATTTTTTAATTACCTTTAGCACAGGAAAAAGACATTCCAATTTAAATAATAAATTAGTTCTCTCTTGCCCATAAATCACATTTCAGATTACAGTTACTAACCAGAAATGCAACAACAACAACAAAACTTGCAAACTAGTCAATTTCTATTGAGATATTACAGACCTATGTAATTCTATTTAGCATTAATAGGCAATTTGTTTGTTCAAAAAACTTCTACAAAATGTCATAATAGGGCTACCGTTTCAACCGGTAATAAGTGTTTTATCTACCAGTGGTTTTCACACGCACAGATAAAAATGTGATGTAATTCAATTATCTAAAGTGTGTGTTGTGTTTGAAGATGATAATAATTTTCTTTATAACATTTTGTTGATTGTCCTTTCTCCATTTCTTTCCTATCTCTCACACAGACCCCTGTTTCAAATTTCAGAGTTGATTTTTTAATATAATTTCATAATGTTGATTTTTAACATAATTTTATAATATCTTGCAGAACAGTTTTACTTTTTGTGCATTGAACACTGTAACAGGTTACAAAATTAAAAACCGGTTATAATTTTGATCTACAACACAAAAATTAAATCATTTATATTGACAGAAAAAAAATTAAAGACCAAAATTTAATTTCTGTCTGAAGAACAATGACACATTTTTATTCCTGAATTGAGAAGGCCTGTTTGGGGCAATTTTGTGGTGGAATGGACAGCGGGGTTTGGATAAATTTTTAGACCAATGATAATTATATTAACTTCAGTGCCAAACAATCTTAAGAATCAAGACTATTGTTGTACTTTCATATTTTTTTTACTTTTAATTTTCTGTTATTTTTTTAGCTCTTTTACATGCATTTCAGAACTGTCAAATTTTGAACCTTCAGCATGTCAAGCTGTGAGTGACTATATCAACCAGACCTTGGTTAAGTGTGTTTAAGAAACCACTCAACAACTGACCCCATGGAAGAGAGACATGTTACATTGTATGCTATGCCCTTTGAATATCAGGAACACCCTCTTAACGTAACATGGACTGAAATTGCAAGGTCATTACATAAATATAGAAAGGCAAAGATTAATTATAATATACTTATAAAATATCAGCACATACTGACTGCATTCCTGTACTTACCATAACTATGTATAAAGTTGGCAAGGTACAGATCTAATTCTCTAACAGATACTGATATATGGTGTGGATTCACGCACAGGTTTGGATGTAAACAGTCTGGCGACTTTTCAAGCCGCTCTCCGTCTGTGCTTTCCAAGGGAATAGCTTTAAATAATATCACCATTACTAAATCCAGTCTCCACACTTTGTCAGCTTGTCTTAAACAGTCTATACGCCGCATTTTTCCTTTTTGATCGGGATTACTTAACACACATAATGGCGGTCTTTTACCCGATATACTAAGCACAAAGTCCTCCCGACATTCCTGTGTGATGTCTTTTCGTAGTTTAGCAAGGAGCCTGGAAGCCCACTTTTGTTTGATTTCTGGTTTTTCATTCTGCAGACAGAAACATAATTGGTTAAGAACTGATTAAATATGTGTTTGCGAAAATAAATCTTAACTTTGACATGCATTTCTTTAAAAATCTAAAATTAAATTTGTTCAAAGTAAAGTTTAATTTAAGGTGTTCTTTAAGGAAATCATGAGATTATAAATTCAAGTACATGTATACTGAAAACAATATATTCACAATCTGTCTGAAAACAGCTAAATTTACTTTTGGGGGTTTTTGACCTGGATTTTGCTCTCTGCACTTCATGTCATGATAGGGATCATTTGCACCATTTAATTTCAAAACTTTCCCAAAAGTCAATAAATTATGGTGCTAAAAAAAAAGTGTGAATTTTCCAACATATTGCCTGTCTGGTTGTTGAGCTTAACACATCATTTCATAACAGAGATCATTTATGCCAAGTAATTTTAAAACATTTGCTATTTTCAATAAGTCATGGAGAAGACATGTGGATTTTATCATATTTGACCTGTGCAACCTTGATTTTTGCAGAGTCCTGGATGTTGCACTCTGCACATTTTGAAATGGTAGTGATCATTTTGCCAAGTTATTTTCATGAATATAGTTAATCAATTAGTTATGGACAGACAAAATACTTGGACTTTTTAATATTTGACCTTTGTGACCATGGGGGTTACAACTTTTGCTGTATTGCTCTGAGTGCACACTTAGAACTCATATGTGGCAAGCTATCTATAAAACTTCTTCACAGTTTCAAAGTTATAGAGCCAAAAAAGAAATGTGGAGTATTTATATTCTATCTAAAAGTGTCATCTTAACTTTGGGGATAACAACCTGGTTGTTGTGCTCTATACATAGTTTCATAGTAGTACTCCTTTGTGAAAAGTTATATTTAGTTTAAAAGTTATGTGGACACAAAGTTCTTTATGTATGACCCTAGCCTTGGGGGCAGCAAACATCTTGTTTTGCCAGCACATTGTCTCATAATGGTATTCATTTGTCATTATGAAAACTTTTCAGCAAATTATGGAGTGGACACAAAATAAAGGACAGATGGACAGACAGGCAAAGGCTATTCCTATAATCCCCTCCCTGCTACATGGCAAGGCATTATATTGTCATTTATCTAGAAAACAGGTTTCTACAAACTTTATGTCTAATATTAAAACAGTAATGAAGACCTTTACAGACACAAAGGAAGATTTGTTTCAATGCTCCACTGCCTCTGTACATTTTAATAAATATATTATAATTTAGCACTCCCGAGTGATTTTTAAGTATTCATATCTATCATAGCAGACAGTAAATCCTGTGATAATCAGCCTGCCATTTCTCTGTCCTGTCCCTTTAGACTGATAACCTTTGACCTTTAAGGGATTCTATATTTAGGTCACCTGTAATTCGTCCTTGACCCTGCGCTCCTCCTCCATTGACATTCGTTTCTCATGTTTCTTGAAGTGTTTTCTTTTAGCTGCCTGTAGGTTAAACCATGTGTAGGAGAAGGACTTCACATGAGGCAGTAAAGCCTCAATAAACGGATGAAATTCATCCTGAAACGAGACAAAAATATACAACTTATAATCAACATTCCTTCATGCCAATAGACTAAACAATTTTCGAAAAGTCAATTAAAAAAATTTCAACACTCGGCACACTACTGTTCTATTTTCTCAGCTTGTACCCCAAAAACTAAACATTACCTGCATAAAGGTAAAAATGAATAATCACTCTTTACATCATATGTTCAAATTTTCTTTACAATAAATAGCTTTTTTTCTGGGATTCCATTACTTGCCTCATTAAGAAAAGCAATTTACAACCAATACAGATCAAAACTGATCAGAACACAGATGTCTCTCTTTTTTTTCAAAATTGTATTTTAAGAGCCTTCTAACCTTAATTTTGCTACTTGACACCTTTTTCAAACAAGTACATGTAAGTGCTTCAAAAACGAAATGAATTTTTGATGTAATAATATACTTCAGAATAATAACAAAAGATTCCCAGTGAAACGCCTGTTATTTTCAGTTTCTATTTAATACCACTTGTACTATCATAATTTTAAAATTCATCATGGTAATACAATGTACTTCTAATTACTTCAAAGAGATTTAGCTAATAAAGATCTGCCAGAATTATGCATTTTCCTGGTTTTTTTTAATCTTTTAGTACCTGTTTAATTCCATTAATGAACCCAATAATTATAATATACCATTTATAGAACTTTCCATTATCAATTCTGGGGATAACAAGTTAAAATCTCAAGTTAAATCTAAATTTAAACCAAGCTTTAAAAGAATCATTTCTGATTCCAGCTAATAGGTAGGGTTTGACCGTGCAGTAACATCAATTTCTACATGTATGTGTGGTCAAACTAATGTTTATATGTTACTTAAGATTATAATTAATATTCTCTTTTATTTTTTTAGCTCAAACAAAGAAACAAATACGTATTAATGCCTTCTATTTCTGAACCTGACCAAAATTCAAAAATGACCTGCAACCATCTTTTCAAGGCCCAAGGTTACCGTCTGAAGGGCAGAAATTGAATGAAGAAATAATATGTACTGTCTGTGTTATAAATAATCACCTGTCCTTTTACTAGCTATCTAACCTTTTGAAGATGGAGAATTTACATCCAATTACTGTTATTTTATAAACACCTACACCTTGAAAAAAAATGTTGTCCAAATTGACATAAAATTGTATCATTTAATGGCGTGATACATTCCTCTCCTTTCTTGTAACAAAAAACCCTTCTAGGAGCTTTATTGAGGGCCAAAAGCATTAAAACATAGCATTTAAATTTTATATACAAAGATCAACTTCAGAACTAAAATTGGAAAGATATTCAAAAGATAATAATGAAATATTAACTCAGAATTAAATCCAAAATCATATTTTTTACACTATTCCTAGCAGGATTTGAGTTAAAAGCATTTAAACCCTTAAATTTTTTATATAAAAATATTTTTTCTGGAAAAACAGCGTGAGTGAATGAATTGAAATTTGGCTCACAATAAAATGATCCATCCAGGCCTACATCAAGTTACTTAAATTTCAGGTGTTTTCAGTCCTATTATTTAAAAAAAAATCAGTATTTACTTGTATCATATAAAAGGAATATAATTAATGACCTTTCCATTTTAGAACTGATCAAAATGCTACATTTTATTAAAATATAACAAACTTAGAATGGAAACACATAAACAAAATACAATTTCATTGAAATCATATAATAAAGTGGCTATTAACTGCTAATATAACAACATGGCCGTTCTGACCTACATAGCTGTAAATAAGTACAAAATTTAAGTATGAAAATCATCAAAAAAAAAATTCTGGAAAACTAGGTAACCATGCAAGCACAAGATTATAAGGGGAGTAGATCAGCATGTTTAATTTGCCATGAAACAGTATCCAGGTGAGTATGTTCTATACAAGATGATGCACGAGATTGTGAATGGAATAGTGATATAAATCACAGATCTACATGTAGATATAGCCACGTCTACCATCTGTCTTATATACAAGACATCATTCTGCTAGCTTCTCAATGTAAAACATAACATTCCATTATAATGTTTCAATGTAAAATTAGGTCTTCAAAAATAAGTACAGGGCAAAAATAGTAGAAAGTTCACTGCAGAACAAATTTTTCCTACCTTCATTTTCAATGATCAATTATTAACTCTCATACTGCCAGCAATGTTTTCTTTTTCTGCTTTTAAATACCACTTCATTGATACAAGTTAGATTGCTCTCATTAAAATTTAATATTATCTTAATATGTTGGTTTTTTTTGTTGTTTTTTTTTTTGCTTTTTGAGGAGATGAAATGTATAAGTGAGATATAAATCATATTGTTGTAAAAATGTAGAATCTAGTGGCACAAAGTAGTCATATATATATCATTTTGTGCAACTTTTCAGTAATATCCAACTAATTATATGTACATTGTATAATGCAAATACTGTAAAATATTATATACAATTAAAATATATTTATATTCAATTTAATAAATATCAAAATATATTTCATTTAGCAATGATATTTTTTTATTTTATATCTTCACCCAGATTGTGAGCATCGATCTGCAAGTACTTCTTAGTAAAATATTTTCTATATACACTCAAATTAAACAAATATCCTCTAAATTTTCTATTTTAATACAATGATTATTATCATATCTAAAAATTATCATATAATTCTTTAAATAAAAGCGTTGAACAACTTGTCTCCTTGTAAAAATCAGGTTTGTAAGACCAGCTAGAAAATGCAACTCTCCGTCATCGAAAAACCCAGCATCTATGTATAATCTTGAAAACATATGAGGAAAGCAACATGGAATCCTAATAATATAAGCAAAGTGAAGGTTTATGTACACCTAAAAGTCATTGGTAATGATAAAGAATAGACTGATAAAGATCACCTCTTTAGTCTTGTTTATATACATAGTGCATACATACCTGTGTTCACGGAACACGCTTACAGCATATTTCTAATACCCAGTAGAATCATATACCTTATTATATACAGCATATATATATATGTACTTCTAATTATCTATCCCCTCCCATTTTCTTTATATTTTTCTCTCAACAGAAATAAATCATATCAAGCATCTATGTATGTAGAAAACCTTTGTTTACAACCTCCGGGGCAAATTCCACAGAAAAACAATCAAAATGCCATAAAAATTCTTCAAGAATTCTATAACAGGTAACAACAAGGTAAATTTAATTGCTTTGTGTGTTTTTCTCCCAGTTCTCATGATTAAAAGAAAGTTAAATCATTTATCATTTCAAATAAATGACATCATTTTCTATAGAACCAAAGCTGCAAATTGACCGAAAACCAAAAACAACAACAGAATCTTCTAACACTAAACACACAAAATAAACTGTAATAACAAATGTACAAAATTAATGATATGAACAAAAACAAATTTAAATGAGTAATTAATCAAGAACTTGAGATATACAGAGACTTTTAACAAAATTTGCATATTTTTCTTTCATGCATCGTAAAAAAATCAATTTATGCAAGTTTTCCAATCCCCACCCATTTGATGGAAAGTCAGAAAAAACTCTTTCATTATTAATCTTAATGAACGAACAATCAGAGGGGCTATGGCCATATACAGGATACAAGTCCCATAAATAACCCACATGTTACCCATGTAAAGGAGAAGAAACAGGCATGCATTTCCTATTTAACTACAAAGTTAACATTTAATTAAGCCTTATCAAAATTAAGCCAGTCATGTATAGTATAAATTAATACACCATTGCTATACCTTCACCTTACCCAATAAGTTGCTGATGTAGATATTCATTCATGATTTTATACAGATAATAGAGAAAAATATCAAAGTACATGTATCTGTGTAATTACAAATAAAGTATTGTCATTATATAATATTTCTCTTAAATATAGCACCATATTGCAATTAATATTCAAATATAATAAAATTAACACAAAGTCATTAAAATAAAAAAAATTAAATGAAATTTTCAAAAAATGCAGGGAAACAATCAGTCAAGTGTATTTCATATTCTAATAATGAGAAATTGTATCATAACAGTTTATAATGTCAGTGAATTTAAGAATTTCTCAAAGAAAGTGGTATGTAAATATCATAAAGATGTAAATTTATTTATTATCTTATCCCTTTACAAACTATTAAGTTAGATAATTAGTTATAACTAATTTCTATAAAAAATATTTTGAGGTTTCGAAGAACATGTGACAGGTATGATTATACGTACGATACTATGAGTAATATAAGTTATATTACGGTAACTATGTAGATATGACAAATTCAACTTTGTCTGTAAAAAAAAAACAACTAAATTACAACTGTGAAGATCCTAAAACTGCAGATTTCAAATTTGAATAAAGCTTTTTACAATGTTTTTAGTTAACAGTATTTATAGCAATTTTGTCCACAAAATATGATATGCATTTCAATATTTTAACCGTCCTTCAGTGTTTAAATTAGCTTATAAAGAATGCTTACTGATTACAATATAGTATACAATATAGGTACAAATGTATTATGTGTAATTTAACTTTATGTTTTTTCCCAACTTGCCTAATTCTGATCAACCGATATAAGCCTTCGTGTATGTATATTAAATAACCGTTACTTCCATTAAAACTAAATTAATACCCCAACCAGGTCATTTGGTCAAAATACTCTTTGTTGACCATTTAATTCATTTGTCATTGGATTTATTTTAAACACTTTAAAAGAGCATAATCAGTTGAAGTAAAACGCCGAATGACCATGTAGGTTTGCCTACATACACACTTTCAGTTGTGAAAAATCTGCACAGTTTACCAATTACAGATTAGACTAAACAATGATGAAATGTACTGTCAAAAGTTTAGACAAAATGTGCACACCTCAGGTATATTCCTAACACTGCCTTGAGATGTTATTTTGTATGTAACACCTTATGTATATAAACTATATTAACATGTTCAGATAATTATTTAAGCCACCTTATTTCAAATATTTATAATATAGTAAATATACATATTTA